AAGTTCAGGATGGAGGGAGAGAGAAGGAAGAAAAGAAGAAAGGAAGAAAAAGAATGAAAAGGAAGGAAGGAAGGAGAGAAATGAAAAGTGGATAATGAGTATTCTAAACCCCCCGGATGTCCAGGCTACCTGCTCTTCTTCAATTTCCCTCCAGATCTCCCAGAACTGCAGATACAGGTTGTGAGCCAGCCTGTGGGCTCTTCAAGCCAAACCTGGGTCCTCAGCAGGAGTGGCCAGTGCCTTTAACTGCTGAGACTCCAGCTCCATTGTTTGCTAATTCTTTCCTGTGTACTTTCACATCTACAACCAGACCCTTGCTCTATTTTTCAGTGTGGTTTCCAATTCCAGAATGATCACTTTGCTCTCTTTAAACAACTATACCTAAGTGTGTTGTGCTTAATAAGATGCTGTCCCAACCTGTACTCTGTAGTTCCCTTTAGCTCTGTAAGCACTACTTACAAGTTTTGTTAAGTCTGGCATCTGGGCCCCTTCTCAAGTATTTTGTGTGTTGCCCAATTTTATTTTTATTTCTGCTTTTGGGTTATGGTTTTCTATTTCTTTGTTCATCTCACACTTTTCTTCTGAAAACTACTATTTTCAGTAATATGTATTAGCAACTCTGATCTGCCAATCCCTTTCTCTGGGACTTTGTTATGTTGCTCAAGTGTTGGTGTCCAGGATGGATGATTTTAGTGGTGTCTTTCCCCTCTCTTGAAGCTTTGGATGTAACTACTTCTGGAAACAGCCCTGCATTCACAACTACTCTGGGGGTTTGATGGTCTAAGTAGAATCCTTGTTGACTATCTGATCTTTGTTTAACTTTCTGCCTCTGCTGATCTAACACCCAACTTTTAGCCCTCACTAATTCCAAGCTTCTTGTTGTATTTCCCATAATGCCCCTGGGGAGTAAACTGCAGAGATCTTTCTTTATCAAATACCTGCATTGGCATGTGTTCCGATTCTGACCTAGGAGGCCTCCTCTAAGCTGTCTCTCTGGGGTTGCTCTGGTAAACCAGTTAGCTGATTATCTTTCTTTTTTTCTTTTTCTTTTTCTTTTTTTTAAAATTGCTTGCCTTCCAAATCTCCAGAATTTGAGCTTCTCCACACTTAGAAAACAATAACTTTCCTTTGCTAGGGATTTTTAGAGCTCTCAATCCAGTCTTTACAGATTGACTGTGTATAACCCCCAAGTCACTCTGTGGGTAAGTAGACCACTTTTCTCAGTAATGTCCTTTTTTTTTTTAAGACTTTGAGCTGGCCTGCTCCTGAAGACTTGGTAGAGTCTTTCCACTTAGTTTTCAGTCTGTACCTTGTAGCTAGTGACAGAGGAGGCAAAATGGCATCATGTTCTTCCCAGCAAAATGCTACATATCTCCAGAGCTGAGGAGAGAAGCCCCATTTTCTCAGCCACACACACCTACTTTGGAACTTCCTCAGTTGCTCTGAAGTAGGGATGGAGGCCAAGAATGGGCCATGGCACCAACACCCTGAGCTCTCCTGTTGTTATTAAGATTTCAACTTTTGTGACTTCTTTTTTTTTTTTTTTTTTTTTTTGTGCCTTAGAGCTAGGCTCTTTTTTGTTTTCTTTTAATTTTTAGCTTTGAGAGAGTTTCCCTATGTAGCCCTGGCTAGCTGGGAGCTCACTGTATAAACCAGGCTGGCCTGATATTTGGGACAATCTTCCTGCCTCTACCTCTGGAATGCTGGGGCTGCAGATGTGCATGGCCATGCCTGACCCACCCATTATTTCTTAATATAATTTCCATCTCTCCTGGTTGTTTCTGAGGATTGTGTCTGCAGAGTGCCTGTGCTTCCTTCAGAAATGGAGGCCAACTACAGAGATTTGGAACATTCTTACTCCACATATCAGTTATATGCTTACCCCACATATCAGGTATCTAGAAGATGTCAGAATCAGTATGTCAGTATCCACCACCCCTCCCCGTGTGTGTGTGTGTGTGTGTGTGTGTGTGTGTGTGTGTGTTTGCACACACCCCAGGAATCTTCCTGTCTCCACCCTCTCAGTGCTGGGGTTGCAAGCATGCTGTAGCTCCATGTTTACATGGGTTCTGGGGTTCTGAAATCAGGTCCTCACACTTGTATGGTAAGCACTTTACCAATGAGCCATTCCACAGCATTTCATTCTGGATGCCTCTTGGAATAATTTTGGACTGTCATGGTACTTACAGGGAAGATGATGAAGTAAACTCCTGGCTCTATAAGGAAATTGGCCATCTGGAAACACCACTAGAAGGGACTAGCTATCTGCCCACAGGCCTCTTCTGGTCTTAGGAATTTCTCCATGGCTCATGTGAAGGACTTGCTCAGAATGAGCATGACAATGGTGTGCTAAGGAAAGCAGATGGGGAGAGCTTTCTGGAACATGTCCTCTTTCCAGTGTTCAACCCTAGTCAGATATCTCCTTGGTGCTGCCAACACTCAACACCACTCTTCCTCCAATTTGATCCTACTGGCAAATGTTCCCTGCTCTACCTGCTAAGACTTGTCATTCAAATTCCATTTCTCTCCCAAATATACCCACCCACCCCACAAAGACAACATTAGCTCTCCTGAACCCAGGATGCTGACCTGGAAGCCCTATTTCCTGCCCATTACTAACACAGCCAGGCCCTAGATCCCAGTGACTGCTGGGTCCCTGTCTCTGCTCTGCTATCAGCAACACATAGAAGTGCAAGTGAGGGTGAACGCCCAGCTCTAGCCCCACACAGGTGTGCTCCTACTCAGACAAGCCTGGCCTGGCAGTCCAAGCACAACTCCTCTCTCTCCCCCATTTATTTGCTGTTGCCCAACAGTGCAGAGATGATTCTCAATGTCCCTTGAGTGTCACAGTGCCCTAGCACACACAGCTCATTCCAGAGACCTTCATACCAGTCCTAATCATTGTACCCCATGGAGTATTTAACCAAAGAGCTTTTTACTATTTAGGCTTTCCTGAAAGTGACAGAACCCAAATTCAAACCAGCTTAGGCTTCAGAAGGACTGTGGGAAGATTATAGGATGGTGTGGGACAACAATTCTTGCATGCTAGAGGCAGTACTCTTCTGTGTCCTATGCCGTCTCTGAGCACTGCCTCCTTATCCAGCCTTCTCTCTCCCTTGCCAATTAATTGCTCTGGAACCATGCCATTACCCCTACTCTCTAAGTGGAATTCTGATATTTCTCTTGGTCAATTGTCTGCTGTTTTACCAGGCCCTCTGCCCAGCTTCATGGATCTGGCTGAAGGGTTCTCAATAAGAGCATCTTTCCTTTCTGAGTCTCTGCCCAACTTCCCCATCTTCTTAACCCTTTCTGGTGACTCTCCTGCCTCAGAAGTCGTCTTTCCTCTTCAGATAGAACATAAAGACAAGGCTGCCTTAAAGTAGTTCCTAACCCTGGCTGCATGGAAAAACCACTAAGAGATTTTGTCAAATATTCACACCTGGGCCCCACACCACACCAACTGATCCAAGCCTGTTGGTATTAGCATTCTGTGTTGGTCTCCTCGCCCCAGGGTGATTATGATATGGCATGAAGACTATAACATATAGGGTAGACACAAGAGGGTCAGGAGTTTAAAACTAGCTGTCTACAAGCAAGTTCAAGGCCAGCATGGGCTATGCAAGAACACACTCAAAAAAAAAAAAAAAAAAAAAAAAAAAAAAAAAAACAAAAAAAAAAAAAAAACAAAAACCAAGAGCCTAAATAAATAAAACAAATTTTAAAAAATAAAATAAGACTGTAAAATTCTCCAGGTGCAGATAACATCTGCAAGCACCCATGGCCATCACACATCCAAACACCCTCAGGAGCAGCAGTTGCCCCCACATCCATCCCAGGCATCAGATAACCTTCAGTATTTGACCTTACTTTATCCTAATGTAAAGTCAGTTGGTAAACTCCACCCACAACAGGAAAAGCTGTGATATGCTAGTTTTGAAGGTGTCTGGCAGGAGTACCAATTCCTGATCACTGGGGTTCTCAGAGGTAGTGGTTTTTATAGTCTAAAAAATTAGGTTTATTAGCCATGCCTTCAGTTTCCAGTGTGAGTTTATTCAGCATATAGCAAGCAAAAGCAAAGAATAAGTAGCAATTGGCAGTCAGGCAAAAGCAGCAGAAAGACAACATCCATCAAATCAGGCACTCAAAACATCTGCATTAGCATGACTGAGCAAACAAGGACAACAGCACCAAATTGGAGATTTCAAATCCAGCAGAAACTGACTGTTGGTATAATCAGCAGGATTTCCTCTCCATGTGTGAGCTTCCCCATAGCTCAACTTCTGACTTCCCTTCCCATTGCTGGTGTTTTTATATCATGGGATAAATAATTGTAATATCTGTTGGGAACAATTCACTCCTGGGCTGCTTTGCTGCCCTCTCCCAACCCTGACCCAGTTAGGGTCCCACAATCTCTGGGGAAAGCTGTTTTAGAGAATATTATTATTATTATTATTATTATTACTATTATTTAGATTTACTATTAATTTTTTATATGGATGGATGTTTTGCCTACGCGCGCGCGTGCGCGCGCACGCGCATGCGCATACATATGTGTGCCTGATGTTTGGGGAGGCCTGAAGAGGGGAACCAGATCCTCTGGAACTGAAGTTACTCACAGTTGTGAGCTGCCATGCAGGTGCTGGGAGATAAACCTAGGTCCTTTAGAAAGTCAGCAACTGCTCTCAACTTCTGAGACATTTCTTTAGCCCAAAAACACTTAAAATAAACATTCTGGAGTCTGGGACAGGAAGGCTCTTCTCCCTCCCAGGGTCCACTTTCAACAAGCTTAAACATCACATGGCTTAGCACTATAGATTCTAGAGAAAAGTGCTTCTGGGTGGAAATCTGTATTTTTTTCTTTTTAAATTTAGATTTACCTCATTCGTATGTGTTTTGCCTCTATATACATATGTGGACCATTTACAGACTCGATGCCCTTAGAGATCTGAAGATAGCATCAGAAAGCCTGGAACTGGGGTTCCAGGAGTTTGTAAGCCATCATGATGGGTACTGACAACTGAACCTACTGGCAACTGAACACTACTGTGTTTTAATAATGCTAATTCTGGAGCACCATACTTGACACTTTTTTTTTTTTCTTTTTGAAGTAAGATCTGACTGTGAAGCCCAGGCTACCCTGGAACTATCGTCCCGTTTCTCAAGAAAAGAACCAGAGTGGAGCAGTTCTGCCCTGGACAGTCCGTGTGACGTAGTGGTTGTCCATTATGCTGCTGTTGTGAGGACGTAATAATTTAGTATATAGAATGGCAAGGGCAGCTAGTTCATAATGCAACTTCAAATACAAACGCACTGTGTGTGCGCGTGTAGAACCGGGCCCTGCTCTCTATGAGCAGAGATGGCCACACTCCATTTCCCAACCTCACTTTCCGTTTCATCCCTATGGGATTCCAACATAGGCTAAGTGTGTAGTGAGCCCAGGGGTGCAGAGTTTCCAGAGTTGCCGGCTCTGTTCTTTCCACAAACCTGGCTGGGTCCAAAGGCGGTAGAGGGGCTGTCCGGGGCACTGGAGCCAGTCGTGTGCACCGTCCCTTGCAGCCTTGTGCGCACAGCCTCTGTAGTTCCAATGCTCCTGCACCCTCTGTGAGCATAGCCACTCTGCAGCGCAGGACAGGGGCCTTTGGTTCCGGAGAAGAGCAGCCCTGCCCCACGGCACCGGGAAGCACGCGACAGATAGAACACACCTTGCCAAAGGCTGCTAGCGATCCTGAGTCTTCACAGCTCAGGTGGGCAAGTGCGCGGGCAAGTGGGCGTTCGGGGAAGCCTGGGGAAGTTTCCAGACCTTCCTCTCACCCCAGCACCGTTGATTCTAGCCTTTCAGGGTCGTCGGACCACAAAGTGATTCCGAGCTACTCCGAGTTGTTCGCAGCCTCTGTGGGCAACGTAGACTGGCTTCGGTTCTGTCTAAATCGGGAGCACAAGGAGATCACAGTCGATGACAAGGTAAAGCTTACAGCATGGAGGCAGTGACTGAAATTCCTCAACACCAGATGAGCTGCAGCTGGGGAGCTCCAAGGTGGCCTTTTCTATGCCTTGGTCCTAATTACCCATTTATAGAAGGCCCATTTGGAAGCAGAGAGAGGTAGGGGATGAAGGACTGTGAGCACCTCCAGATACACAGGAAACAAAAAAGGGCAACCCCAAGACAGAGGCAGGATTGTGGGCTCCGCTCCAATCCTGCTGAGCCTTCTCCTGTGCTGCCCACTTTTCAGGGCTTCACAGCCATCCACTTCGCAGCCCAGCAAAGAAAGCTTTCCTGCCTTCAGGTCCTGGTAGAGGAGTACAAGTTTCCTGTGGATCTGCCTACCAACAATGGCCAGACGCCCCTGCACCTTGTCATTCATAAAAACAACAAGTCCGACATCATCCCCTGCATTGACTACCTCCTTAAGAAAGGGGCTGCCATCAACGCGTAAGTCCAGCCTGCCTGGACTTGGGACTCTGGGTAGCCAGGCACGACCAGATGAGGGAGTCTGGGATTCCTACCTGGAGAAAGCAGTCAAGAAACCCACTTAGTGTCCTGGTCCTTAAAGAAACAGGGCATCCAGAGAGGGCAGATCCAATTTCCAGAATAGGCTTAGGCAAACAAACTGTGGGTCCATGGGCATGCCACTCAACCTCTGAGCCTCAGTGTCCTAGTCCTCAAACTCAGGTGTATACAATGGGACCTCACAGATACTACTGTGAGCTTTGGAAGCCTTGATGATCTCCAGGTATTTCTATTTTGTAGCTTAGTTTGGAAACTGGCTGTCTTTGATTGAGATTGGGAGGATGAATGTGTCTGAGACATAGAGCTTTTTTGATAAGGGAGTTGGAGTTATAGGTGCTTCTGTGCTGGGAACCAATCTCAAGTATTCTGCAAGATCAGTATATTCTCTTAACCACTGAGACATCTCTCCAGCCCTACTTTTGTAACAAGGAAAATGCATGACATACTAGAGTCTGCCTGCCTTGTTCATCCAGAATACTAACCAAGCATGCACTGTGTGCTAACAAGCACTACACCCAAGCTTGGAGCATAGTAACAAACACAGGGAACCCATCCCTGCCCTCACAGAGCTGACTTTCAGTGACTGGACATTTTGCTAATTGCAAATAAATGAATGAATAGCCAGAATTCCAAAAACTCAGCTATGAGAACAGTGGGATGATAGGGTAGGGAAGGGTCTTTCTAAAGAAAGCAATGACCACTAAGAAGGTGGTAGTTCCTTTCTTCATTATTTTTTAGAGTGTTTCATGTAGTCCAGGCTACCCTCAAACTGGCTATGATAACCAAGGAGGATCTGGAACTTCTGAATCTCATGCCTCCACTTCCCAAGTGCTAAGATCACAGGTATACATCACCACACATGGTTTGATACAGTACTGGAACTGAACTCAGGGCTTTATGTATACTAGGCAAGCATTCTATCAAAGGAAGTGCATCCCCAGTCCCAGGAGGTGACATTTAACTGCAACCTATAGAGACTGGAGAGAGAGCTCAATGGGTAAAGCACCCATTGTACAAGTGTGTGGACCTTAGTTCAAAGCCTCATCATCCATTTGAACATGATGGGCCAGAATCACAGGGAGACAAAGACAGGAAATGCCAAACAAGATGGCTAGCTAGACTAGCTGATTCAGTGTGTTCTGAATTCAAGTGAGAGAGACCGTGCATCTACACATAAAGTGGAGGATGATAGAGGAAAAGGAAGATAGTCAGTGTCAACCTCTGATCTCCACACAGACATTAGGTAGATATAGAAAGATGTATTTAATAGATACAGACATAGATAAATATGCACCGACACACATGTGAACATGCATATATACATATGCACACCACACACGTTAAAATTAACTTCATTCTGAGGCCCAACCTTGCCAAAAGCCAGGGAAGAGCCAGACTTAGTGGTACACTGGGCACTCAGAAGACTGAGACAGGAGGATGAGGATTTCAAGATCACCCTTGGCTACATAACAAAGTTGAGATCAACCTGTACTACAGGAGACCTTGTCTCAACAATCAGACAAAAGTGGATGAGATTGGTGGCACTGGAGTAACCCAGGGAGCCTCCAAGGCAGTTACTAGCTGTCATGTTCAAACATATCCTATACTAAGATTTGCACTGCTCATATTAGTCCATCCCTCCTCTTAGAGAAGAGAAACTTGAGGCCTGAAAAACAGCAGGATTATGGACAGAATCCCTCGTGGTGGTGGCAGAGTGGGTCCTGAAAGCTGGCTTACCTGCCTATCTGATGCCCTTACCCTTCCCTTTGCCCTTTACCCTATGGTATACTTCACAGTCAGACATGCCATGGCTTCACACCCCTGCACCTGGCTGCCCGCAATGGCCTGCTGGGATGTATGAAAGTCCTGGTTCAGAGTGGAGCCAATGTGCATGCCCAAGATGCCATGGGCTTCAAACCCATCAACTACTGCAAACTATGGAACCACCGCACCTGTGCCCGGTGAGCCTATGACAACCATACCAGCTGCTGCTGCTTCTGGGGGGAGGGGGATCTGAGCCTCTACGGGGAAGGCTGAGGAGGCCAGGTGACAGTCAGGTCGGGTAAGTCTGGGAAAGAGGCCCCATGCAGGGTATTGTCCACATGAGTTTGGCCTGACCTCACCCCTTTAGATTGAACACTGCCTTTCTTCTTTGCTTTTCCTCTCCCCCAATTCTCAAAGCCCAATAGTCACTTTCCTCTCCTTTTTCAAAGGGCCCCTAGGCATGGGACTGGGGTGTCTTGCCCATCTCTGCTCTGGCAAGTCCTCCCATCCCACCTGGCCTTCAGTGCCTCACCCTCTGAGGGAAGCCCAGTTACTGTAATAAGCCTTGATGTCAGGTTCTTGAAAGATGCCATGTGGAAACAGGACAAGAAGGACTTTGCCCAAGAGATGGGGAAACTGAAGACCCTGAAGGAGAAGCTGGCCATTTTGGAGTACCGATACCTGATTGAATATCAAGTAAGGGAAAGCACCCCCACCCCCAGGGCTGGGCCCTACAGCCAGGAGAGAGGAGCAGCTGGAATACTCCCTAGAAGAAGGAACCCCTGCTCCCCACCCCCGAATCCTCCCCTATAAGCCACTCCTTTAGGTCAAAGGTCTTGTCCTGTGCCAGAAACAAACGCAGCCTGGATTATGGGGCATTCAGATACCCTTACCCTCACTGTACACTAGGCTCCTGCTAGGCCCTGCAAGTCCAGCAAGGTATAGTCCCTACTCAAGAAGCTTAGGCACTAGGAAGAGGTAGGTTGTGCTCTTGGGGGAGGATTGAGGAGGATGCCTGAGGTGTCTTTGAAGATGGACAGGCATTCATATGAAGTAAGGAAGGACTGGTCCACACAAGGAATCACTTTGCAGAATACATGGAGCACATGTGAGCATCATGGAGGCAGAAAACAGTAAACTTGAGGATGAGGTATGAGTTGGTGAAGACTAACAGACTAGAGTTTTGGCAAGGGTCCAGACCAGTGAAGCACTTTGGCCAGTGGAAGTGGCAGGGGAAGCATTCAAACAGATACAATGATGGAACATAAAACACACAAAACAGAAAACTTAGAAGGAGTTTGGGTTCCTTCCTTCCCTTGTTTTTCAAGACAGGGTTTCTCTGTGGCTTTGGAGGCTGTCCTGGAACTAGCTCTTGTAGACCAGGCTGGTCTCGAACTCACAGAGATCCACTTGCCTCTGCCTCCCCAGTGCTGGAATTAAAGGTGTGTGCCACCAAGCCCAGTCAAGAGTGTAGGTTCTTAAGTGAATCCTACAATGGCTGCAGGGCCTGCCACTGTGTACTCTTCCAATTGTCCAAGCTGTGCCTCTCATCATGGTATCCTCCTTGTCTCTATCACTCAACCCTTGTATTTTCTGTTGAACCTACCTCTACTCAGTAGCTCCCTGCAGACTCAGGAGCCTCTTGTTGGCCTCAATGAATCACATGACCACTATTCTTCCAATGACAAGAACAAAAAGAAAGCCAAATGCTGATTTAGGCCTAGGCAAGGCTGACAGAATTAGGACTCTGCCTCTGGAGCTGGGTCAATCTCCAAATCACCTGATTACTTAGCGACTGTGTGGGAGTGAGATAATAGGGGTGGGAACATTTCTACACGTGAACATTTCAGTGCCAGTAGTAGTAAAGACAGAGCTCTAGCCAAGTCCCCACCACCCAGTCTGGCCAGTAGCCACTCTGTCCTTGATGTTACTCCCAGGAAGCCCTGTCCAACTTCATTGCTTCCATCCAATGCCAGGCCTCCCAGCCCTTCCCTGTCTTTTCCTGGGGTCAAACCAAAGTCACCTGAGGCTGTCACTACCTCTGGTGGAAGTGGGACCTGAAAACTAGAGGTTGTCCCTAGGGAGGGACTATGTCTTTGTCCTCAGTCTATAGGTCTCCTATGAAAGTCTTTGTCTCCTCCACAGCCTGGGAGCTCAGTCAGAACAAGGGGTGTCTCCTCTATCAGAACAAGGCTCACATAAAGCAGCAACTTGCCCACTAGGCCTGAGGTTTCCCAGAGTACTAGCCACAGGGTTGCCTGTCCATAAGTGCCACTGCCTCGTGTCCTTCGTTGTTGCAGAAAGAACAGCGAATTCTGAGAGAGGCTCACTTCAGAACATGGCTCCAAGGCAAGCTGCTGGGTCGGCCCCAGAGTTCTGCTGACTCCAAGCAACAGGCTGGTGTCCGACCTTGGCCATTGGCTCTCTCCAAGACTCTAAGACCTCAGATTGCCAAAAGCTTCCCATCTTATCCTTCCGTGGAGGCTCAACTACAAAGCTTGCCCTCACCTGTGGTGCCACCCAAGCCCATCTACAAGCAGACTACCATCAGTCGGCCTAAACTGTGGAATATTAGCAATAACCCTGACAGGTCCCCGACCACAAAGATTGGCTACCCTCAGGGTATACGGCTGGGTGTGCATCCAGACCCGTATAAGGAGCATGACTTTTGCAGATTCCTGGAGGTGACTCGGAATTCCCTCGGAGGTGCATGGTTACGCACAGCAGACAATCACTTGGTGACACCTGTACCCCACCTGCCTTTTGAGGTGATGGTCCGGGTACTGTACCCAGGGGCGAAACCCTACAGGATGAAAGTACCCCAGGGCTTGTATCCACTTGATATCCTCAAAGTGCCCCAGAAACGGCATTTGGGAGATACCTCTTCCAACACATTGGCTATGAACCTGCGTGAGACATTTGATGAACCCTTCCTGGCTACCATGGAAGCTTGCCAGACTCAAGTAGCCCTACCCTCCAAGGAAGTTCTCACATAAAGTTGTTTTGGAAACCTTCTGATGAAGAGAAAATGTTAAGATTCATATTGTGACTGGTTGGTGGTGGCACTCAGGAGGTAGAGACAGGTGGATCTCTATGAGTTCAAGGCCAGCCTGGTCTACATAAGCTAGTTCCAGGACAACTAGGTTTACACAGAGAAACCCTGTCTTGAAAAAAACCAAACAAAAAGAGTAAGATTAATATTATGGCAAGAAGGACTACCTATGGAGTTCTCATTCCCAAGCCCAAGGGCAGGAGCCATTCCTACCTCCCTCCTCCCAAAAGTACGCATCCTACACTTCCCTTTTCTCTACAGAGAAATTGCCTGGTTTACTGGGACATGTATATCTGGCAGAGCAGTAAGGTTCAGAGTAGAGTGTCAATAATGTCCTGTGACACAGAAATGTAAAAACAACCCTCACTGCTCTACCTTAACCTACCCCTAGCACGTGAAGGACAAGGCTTCCGGGACAGGCCACCCCTAGGAATTCTGCCACCTCTCCTTCCTGTCTGCTGCACATCCTGACTGGGGATGGGGAATGGCTAATGTGGTATCTCGTACAGGTTTCTTTGCCCATGGGGCACTGCCCCCTTGCTCCTGGCCCCACTGAGATACATGAAGCAACAGGTCCAGGAGGCTGGGCAGCATTTCTGCCAAGAGAAGAAGACTGGCTTTGCTGTTAAGACCTGTCCAGGATGCCACCTTGGACCCCAATGTTCCCTTGTCACACACTACAACTCACTCTTTAAACAAAACATTTATTGAGTGCTTTCCATGGGCCAGGTGCCAAAATCAGGTAGTTGATAATACAAAAGTCCAAGGGTTTTCCCTGCCCTCAAGGAGCTTCCAGTCTAGTGGGGGACAGACCATACCACAGGCCAGTGAGCCCAGGATCTGTGTGTCAGCTGGGGAGAAGGGACATTCAAGGTTCCTTGGTAAAACCTAAGTGGAAAAGTGGCAAACTACCACAGTGAGTGGAGGGATGGATATCAAAGCTGCAAGAGAACCATGGTCTCTGCATACAGGAGGCAAATGATGAGGCCAGTAGGGACCAGGACACCAGGAGCCTCACACAACATGCTAAGGAGTCTGGACTTTATCCTAAGGGCAGTGGAGAGCTGGAGCAAAGTTTGAGGCCAAGAAAGACTTGGCCAACTGTACACTTTAGGAAAACTACTCCAGCTGGCCATGGGATAGAGAAACAAAGGAGACTGTTTAAAAACTAGGAGAAAGATGACAGGAGTGGCTCAGATAAAGAGCTACTAAGAATAGACTGGATGTAGGGCAGAAAGAGAAAGCAAGATTCTGCTTGGCTCCTGAGCCATCATGGGACCAGGGCAGGTACTAGAAAGAGCAGATTTTGAGGTAAAATTGTTCCTGTGCCCAGAAGGCAGCAGAACTGTGGCTAAGCTACAGAGGAATTGGAGTTGAAAGTTGGCCCTGGCTTCCTCCAGTGTCCCTCAGCAGGGCTGGACTTCTTCAGGCAATTCATAACCCAGCCAAAGAGCAACTGTGTGCATAGGACAAGAGAGAACCCTATACAGACTGAATGGGCAGAGAGGTAAAGGGAAAGCCAGCTACAGAAGTGCCAAGGAAGTGTAAGTCAAGAAGGCCATCAGCTGTGTCACCTACTCCAAGTGATGACTCTACCAGGTTTAGCCTGGAAAAGCCTCTGTCCAAGCAATGATCAGCAGGTAAGATGAACGAAGATAAAGAAGTGGACAGCAAGGCCAAGTGGGGTCAGTCTCAGGCTGCCAATGAGCATCAGCCTCATGACCCATACCTTCACCCACCCAAGTGGCAGAAATAGGTCTGGAGATCTTACCAGTAGCTGCAAAATAAAATTCAGGTAATGGCAAGCTGAGACTCAACAGAAACACAAGAGCTGATGAGATGAAGGATGCAGGAAACAGAAGATGTTCATGAACAGGGATCTTCCCCATGCCTGTCCAGTGGCAGTTCTTGTGGGACCTTGATTCCATGTACTGCTGAACCCTTGCAAGGCACTGTAGTTGAAGTGCAAGGTCAACAGATGCAGGTCTGTGCCCAGGATGGGGCCCACCTTCTTAGAAGGCAGAGCTTACATCCCTCCAAGAGCCAGAAGCACAGGAGTATGAGGCTCTGGACGGCAGCCTCTCTCAGGAAACAAGCCTTAGGCTGCCTAGAAACCAATTTATTATTTTTTTCATTGAGCCTGAGATAGAATTCACCAAGAAACTTCTCCTCTCCTTAAAGGAAGACATACATATGACATTGTAGATGGCCTTCTACATCCCTAACCCAGTCATAAACTGTCCCTGATCCCTCCCATCTGGACTATCATGGTCTGGGGAAGACATGGGAAAGAGGGAGAAGCCTCAGAAAAGCTGCCTGTATCCACTCATCATCTCTATTCCCTTCCCACTTAGGGCCACAAGAATTTCTTCAGAAGGGCAAGAGCCAGAAGAGGAATCCACGGAGTAGAAGGCTAGCCCGGTCTAGGCAGAAGGTTAGCAGGTATAGAGGAAGATGGACTCCTGAGGTGTTAAGGCAAACAGTGCCACCTTGGATCTTTATTCAAAGGGAACCAGCATTGGACAAGACAGCAAAATGTACTTTTCCAGAAGCACTAACTCTCTGCTCCTCCCTATACTCACCTGCCTAGGAACTTGCTGTCTGTTCCCCATCTTCACAGACCCTTCCCTGCCTGCCCTATCTGAGCCAGACCCGACTCCAGGAAGGGGAGGGCTGGGGACATAGACTCCTGGCAAATCAGGTTCTGCTACCCTCTCTGCTACCCCTGGCAGCATTCAAGCCCCCTCAGGGAGGGTGGGGATGGGGCTTCACAACAGAGGGGAGGGAAACCTGGGCTGGCAGAAGATACCCTCCAGGCTCCCAGGGCCTGGCTCTGCTGGTCTTGCCCCCCACATGCCCTCCCCAAAGGCTCAGTATATCTTCTGCCGACTGGGTAGGATGGCTTCTTTGATGAAGGAGAAGACCACCAGGATGCCTAAGCGCTTGCCTCGCTTGCCTTTGGTGAAATAATTGGAGACCACGTCATCTGTGGAAACACAGGCATCAAGATGAGTGTGAATGCACATGCATGTGTACATGAATGCAGTTCTCATGTCCAGTGTTCTCTTGCAGGGCTGGGGCAGGTTCCCCCACCTGACCTAATATGCCTTTCCTCACCTCCTGGCTGCATGGTAGATGGGAGGACATTCTCCCCAGCAGAAAGTGACACGAAGAAAGCAAACGGGATTATCCACAGGCAGAATGTGAAGTAGGCCAGGACCTGGTGACAGGAGAGACTGAGAAGGGAGAGCCCCAGGGGTGCCCCCTGAAGGCCCACCCCATCCCTGCAGGGACTAGTACTCAGGGAGCAGGACTCGACACTGAGACTGTTGGGAGAGGGTAAGTACAGCTGTGACTGAATGCAGATCTTCCCAAAAGTGACATTGTTCTTCTCTGGAGTTTTAAGTAGGAGAAATCCTGGTCAGGACCTGATGAATCTGGGACTAGGGGGTGAGGTTGCCACCCAGTCCTGCCTTGTGAGGTCTGGGTCACACAGACTGGCATGATGCCCCTCTTGGACTTGAGAATTATCTTATTGGGGCACCCAAAGGACTCATGGGGGCAGGGGGACCTCCACCAGAGGGATCCCTTCTGTTTCTCAGACATCCTGCCTTCCAAAATCATGTTTTATGTTTTTAAGAAACATGGTTCCTGAATGGAGCCAGTTTTGGACCACCATTAACAATCACAAAGTGGATGGTGTGAACCCTCTTCACTCCCCCATGCCCGCCACTATGCATATTATGTGCTAGACACTGGGCACTTCTTACCTCAGAGAAAGGGTAATATTCTTCTGCAAAAAACTGAAATGCCAGGTAATGGTTCACCACCACTAGCCCTGTGGGGATGGAGAGTCTGGTCACTGTGTGTTCACCATATCCAGAAGGCCCCCAACTGGAGCCCTGGGTATCAGCCTCAACTGCACCACCTCTCAGCACAGCTCTTTTTAGAACTCAGTCCCCATCTGTTAAGAACAGGTGCTCAGCCCCATCTTTCTCACTGCGGTGGGCAACAGGAATAGAATCAGAAGGTAGACTGGGACATCCTGGCATGTTATAGAAGCAAGTTTTTTCTGTGTTGCATAATCCATGATCACACCATTGCTCAACCAAAAGCAGTAGGGGAGGGGAGGACATGGATAGGCAGAGCATATACCATGGCAGTCTCCATTTCACACTGTACAGCAGGGAGGAGGCCTCACCAGAGGCACCGTACAGTCAGGATTCCTTGGAAAGCTAGCACGGGACGAGGCACACCAGTCTATATTGGTGTGCTCCGGCCCCAAACACTCTTCTCCAGTGTGCACAACTTCATGAAAAAGAGCAAGGAAAGGGACAGCTGCTCAGAGGCACCTGCCCCACCTGCTTCCATGCCAGGGTAAAGGGCAGGCACCAGAAGACCATACACCCCCCCTTACCCACCTCACAACTTCTTAATTTTCCTCTTTACCATGAAGGTAGGACTCTGCTATGCCATGGGCAAGACTAAATGACACTAGATGGTACCTGGTGCCTACAAAATCCCTCATAAAAACTCAGGTATCCAAATGGCAGGCCAAGGGAGTGACATAAAGAGCCAGATGAGCCTTCTGGTGACCAGAGCTCCTCTCTGGGAGACACACAAAGGACCTTGTGCTGAACAAATTCTGAGGTAAAACCACACCTGGCATTGAGAGATGCCCAACTCTAACAATCTGCCCTTCTGTGGATAACATCCAGAATTTCCCCTAGACACATGCCTCCTGCCATCTCGATTCAGGTTAGAGAGAGGAGAAACAGCTGTGCCTATGATCACTTTCTCATGAACATTCGTGTATTATCTGTGACCACTGCATGAACAAACTGGGTCTAACAAAAAAATAGCTAAGGCTCAGGAATGGGGTATAACTTTCCAGGAACAAGAAGTAGTGACAGGGCCAAGTCAGGACCCAAGCCTGACACACTGGAAACTTCTGACAATATGATGAGAAAAGGGAGCTAGCTCCAAGACGTCATTTCTGTGACTTCAAGAGCTCTCTACTCATTAAGCTGGCTCCATGCTTCTCAAAGGGACCAAGTGGTTTCTTAAAGGTGAGAACCACTCAGCCTGGAATGTGCCTTCTCTACTTTCCCAAGCCCTCCTAACCTGCCTTTTTGACAAGGTCCTCCTGGCTGGAGCCTCTCCCCTGATGAGGGCTAGGCCCTGGGCAGACAGGCTCTAGGGTGCTCAGGAATAAGAAGCCACTTTCCCCAAGCAGCCTGGCCTCCTGGAGGACCTCAGAAGCTGCTTAGCTGTTCCCCTCCTCAGTCTCCCCTTCAGTGTCTGAGACAAAGTGCCCACATCCAATCACATCAAGTCTTCCCTGCTTGTCCCCTCTCACCGCATGACAGGATGAAGTTAGGTGATGTCAGCATGATGAAGGGGAAGGTCTGGAGAAGGCCAAAGTAGACGAGGTTGGTGAAAAGGCCCACGCCAATCATGCTGGTGGGGAAGTGTTCAAAGACATAGAGGCCAATCAGGACTGCAGTGGAGAACTGAAACAGACAGAGGCACTTGCTGCAGGGGACTTTCAGCCACATGTACCCCCAGCCCCAGCCTGCTCTGCACAACACTACAGACTTTGGTTTTCTTGGTTCATAGTTACTTCCATAGCCACACTCCAAGGTGGCATCTTTGAAGGTCACTTCTAAAAGATTTTTGACAGTGATCCAAAGTAAGAAAAAACATTTTACACAGCACCCCACCATACACCCATTCATGTGCTCAGACTCAATATCATCCTAGTTTTTACAGTTATAATCTTTGGAGCAGGGGACCTAACCAATGGCCACATGCATGCCCTCCACCCTCCACCCCCTATTCACAATTTCCTTGAATGCAGAGCATGATCTACTAAATCAATTACATTAACTCAGTAATGAACCCAGCTGGCAGTCTCAGTGATGAAAGGTCTAATTGCTGTACCAACCACACCCACAGACTGAACCAATGAGCTGGCTGTGGACCTATCTTTATACAAACTACAGCCCCAGGCTACGTTCATAGTGAAAGTAGTCACAGACAGTAGGTAAGTGAAAGGTGAAGAACTTTTCTGACCACACACATTCCCACAGCAACATCAGCCTTCCTCATAGCTGCTGGAGAAAAGCCTTCCTAACAGCCTCCAAAGCAGTAGCAGGGACCAAGTCTTCAGGAAAAGAAGTCTCCCATGAGGCAAGATAAAGGCAAGGCATGCTCCTTTAGGACAAATCACTCAGAAAGAAGGCAATAAATAAGCATTACAAACTGTCCTGAATGTCGCTGTAAGTTCTAATCCTGAACTGGGCTTGGGGATCTAGGGCTGGAGCCGGTGGACACAGGGCGAGATAGCCACGTGAAGGCAAAGGCACGAATACCTATCATTGCAATAGCTCCACTGTCACTTTAAAGAATGGCAGTTGTTTGTGAAACAAAGCCACATGAGGTTGGAGGACCAGGGGTGATCTGGACCCAAAAGGTAGAGTGCAGAGCAGGGAGGTATGGGGACAGACTCCCTCAGAACCTGGGTTCTCAGCACCACAGCAGTTCCAAACCAAATACTCCCCCCCACTTCCTGCTTCCAAGGTGGGGCAAGCAAGCCCTGGATGACTCCAAGGAAAAGCTGCCACTTACCCAGATCATGTATTTGATGATTCTGCTGGTGGCCACTGTGTACTCTTCTATCAGCTCGGCCAGGTAGTACAGTCCAGCCGCTGGGTTGGCGGGGGTAGGGGTGAGGGTGGCCACAGGACGGGACAAACAGGAAGAATTCAGCCAGGGCCATCCCCATCAGCCTGCTCATCCCGCAGTCCCTAACAACCCTCCCCAGACTTAAGGAAGTCAGGAAGAAGCCAAAGCACCCCTGTGATGCCCTTCTCATCTGCACAAGTAGAACTTTGCCAGGACAACTGCAGAAAGACTGGATTTGACTGCACAACCAAAGGTTAACCTCTGCCCCAGGAACCTTAACTCAGTCAATCAATACTGCAGAACACTTAGCTTACAAGCCGGGCGCTGTACGTTAGCACTCAGTCGGGGAGACAGACAGGGCCTTTCCCTGCCCCGGCTGGAGGGGACAGGTAGAGGGGACAGCCCATGGCCCCGAGAGCAAGGATGCGTCTCGAAGACCATGTATCCCCTCCGGAAGGTTCGGCCGAGGTCCAGCAGGACCAACTCGGGGTCGCCCGCACCCAGCTGCAAAGCGCAGCAGCGGTTGGCGGCTAGGGGCACCAGGGCGCGGCCCGGGTCAGCGCTCTCACCGACGGCCAGAGTGATGAATGCCACCTGGATGAACAGCGACAGCCAGCTCAGCACGTACATGAACCACATGGCGCCCCCCCCAGGCGCCTGGACCGGCCTGCGCCGTCCGGCTCCCGCGACGCTGAGCGGCAGCCGCCGTGCTGTCCCCGCCCCTCGGACGCCGAGAGGAGCGGGGCCGAGCACCTTCGCCCGTGCACCCCCGCAGAGTCCGCGAGCGCCGCCAACCGGCGCGGAGGATCGAGATCGCGCTGCACCAAGCACCACTGGGACCAAACCTGGCCCAGTCCTGCCCGGCACAGCCACGGATCCAACTTTTCTGGGAGAGGAAAGTTAGCCATATCTCAGGTCACATACTAGAAAGCTTCACAGTGTGGAATCTCGGGTGCCTTTAAATGGTCACCTTCAATCCTAACTCTCCCTTTAGGCTTAGTTCTTTCCCATGCAGTGCAGATCACCTTTGCATCTGGTCTAAGCACTGACGGCATTTGCGACAATGCAAGCAGTTGTCTGAGGGAGCACCACCTAGTGGCTGACACAGGCCAACTCCAAGTGCCGGTATGTTGCTTATTATTTTCAGGCAAGGTCTCATAACTCAGACTGCCTTGAATCCTCCCATTTCCGCCTCTCAGCTGGTAGGATTTCAGATATGGGCTACCACGCTAGGGCAAAATACAACTTTTTTTTTTTTAAAGACGAGGTGTTTGTGTAGTCCTGGAATCTGCTATGAAAATGGGGTTAATTATATAAAATAAAATAAAATAAAATAAATTAATAAAAAAAAGAAGAAAATGGGGTTAATATCAAACTCACAGAGATCCTCCTGCCTCTGCCTCCCAAATCCTAGGATTAGAGGAGTGGATCACCATACTCAGCTCTTTTATTTTTTGAAACAGTCTTATGTGCCCAGGCTGGCCTTCAACACACTATGTAGCTTAAGATGACTTTGTGCTCCTGATCCTGTTGCCTCCACCGAGTGCTGGAATTGTGGGTGTGTGTCACCAGAATCATGTTTCTTGATTCATAAAGTAAGAGCACTTTCGTAAACAAAACAAAAAAAAAATGAATTTGGCTGGAGAGATGGTTCAGTGGTTAGGAGCTCTTGCAGAGGACCCAAGTTCAGTTCCAAGCACACATGTCAGGTGGCTTCCAATCACCTCTAAATCCAGGTCCAGGTGGACCTGGTGCTTCTGGCTTCATTGGGCACTTGGATCCAAGTGCACATACCCCTACAAAGACAGGCACACAAATACATAATTCAAAATAAGTAGACCACACATGGTCATGTATGCAAGTAGATCTCTGAGTTTGAAGCCAGTCTGGTTTACATAGAAAGTTCCAGGCTAGCCAGGGCTACATAGTTAGGCCCTGTCTCAAAACAAACAATAAAAATAAAATAAAATTTTTAAATGAATAAAACTGCTTCGTGGAGGGGGGGAATGTAAATGTGTTCCCTGATTCCTCTCCAGAATTGGAGATAAAGGAATCAGAGCCCCCTGAGAGCCGAGTGCACCCATGTTTCACTGTGCCAGCCCTAACTGGCACACCAGCTGGCTGCTGCCACTTTCCCCATTTTATATCCAGGTCTGAAGATCTGAATTTCCTTTGTCAGCAATGAAGGTGGAAACCACTGTTTCCTGGGAGCTGAGAGGCACACAGGAAGAAATGAAAAGCAGTTTCTTCTTTCTACTCCATCCAGTCCAACTCCACCTCACAGGGCTCTAGCACTCGGGGGACCAAGCTGAGCAGGGCTCAGGGTGAGGAAGGCCAAACACAAGTCTCAATCTGAGGGAGTAAGGAAGAGGGCCATTAAATTCCAAGGACTCATTTCAAGAGTAAAGACTAAAATATTCAAGGCATCTGAGCAGATGGCTGACTTAGTCATGAGCAGAACCTACTTGGCACACGTTCTCATTCAGAGAATGCACAGAGCCCTTTCTTACACATGTGTGTCTGGATGCCTGGAGATAGGAAGGGAGCTAGCTCAATCCCATATAGACCTTTTCCCTGGAAATCAATGACAGAATCACTTCTTGGCCTTCTTGTTAAGATTAAGGTCAGAAAGATGCTAAGTACTAGCAATTACTTACTATTACTCTGGGCCAGACAGGGTCCTAAGTGATCCAGATGAACTTGACCCAGTTAGCATCACATTTAAAGAAAGAGATGTTACTATTACTGCTTCTGTCTCAGGGAAAAGGAACTGAGACACAGAGAGCTTCAATTCCCATCCAAATTCACATAGCTAGCACCAGGAGGAGCCAGGGTTTGAGTCTTGGCAGCCTGGTTCCAGAAACCAGGTGGCTTTCTCTGGTCAACTGGTTCTGCCTGTCCATTTATGGCCTGTCTTTCAGTCCAGTCCAGGGACTGGGTTCTGCCTTGGCTCCGGGCTTCCCCTTTCCTCTCTAGCTTTATGTTTGCAAGGACATGTGAACAGGTCTCACATTTCTTCCTTTGGCCACCTCTGTCCCCCTACAGTGTTCCTTTACTAACTCACCTTGTAACATCATCACAGACTCACACAGATGATGGACATTGACATTGAACTGTGGTCCCTACTTGGAACCAGATTCAGTCTTGTTAAGAAAGCTAGGGTTATGACCCCAACTAACAGTCTAAGCAATAATGAAAATGCTTCCTTAAATACCCTTGATGAGCTTGATGATTATTTTATATGCCATTCTAGAGCCTTTATCCAGTAGCTAATGGAAGCAGAAGTAGACACCCATAGCTAAACACTGAGCTGAGCTCCTGGAATCCACTTGCAGAGAGGGAGAAGAGATGAGCAAAGGGGTTAAGACCAGGCTGGAGAAAACCACAGAAACAGCTGACCTGAACAAGGGGGAGCTCATGGACCCCAGAATGATAGCTGGGAAACTGGCATTGGACCTATCCAGACCCCCTGAAATTTGCCCAGGTAAGAGGGCTGGGCAATCTATGGGGCCTCTGGCAGTGGATCAGTATTTTTATCCCTAGTATACGAATGGACTTTGAGAGCCCATTCCACATTTATGGATATTCTCTCAGCCTAGACACATGGGGAGGGTCTAGGTTCTGCTCCAAATGATATGACAGACTTTGAAGATTCCCCTATGGAAGGAAGACCTCACCATCCTTGGGGAGCAGAAAGGGATGAGATAGGGGGTTGGTCAGGGGCAGGGGAGGAGGGGAGGGAGAGGTAACTGGGATTGACATGTAAAAAAAAAAAAAAGCTTGTTTCTAATTTAAATAAAAAATAGGAAAGAGAAAGAAAGGAAGGAAGCAAGCAAGCAAGCAAACAAGGGTTATGTGACTCATTGTGCCGGAAAAATCCCTTAGCTGTGTATCTAGCATGTGCCAGGATTGCTTGGTGTTTTCAGACCCTCCTGACCAATATACACCATCCGCTTACAGTGTTGGTTTTCTTAAACCATTCTACAGATGCAATAATTGGCTGCCAACCAGCTTCCAAATAAATACAGAGACTTATTATTATTTAGATTTATTTATTTATCATGTATATAGTGTTCTGTCTGCATGTATGCCCTCTGGCCAGAAGAAGGCATCAGATCTCACATTACAGATAGTTGTGAGCCACCATGTGATTACTGGGAATTGAACTCAGGACCTCTGGAAGAGCAGGCAGTGCTCTTAACTTCTGAGCCATCTCTCCAGCCCCCATAGAGACTTGTTATTAATTATGAATGCTCGGCTTTAGCTTAGGCTTGTTCCAGTCCCACTAGCTCTTTTAACTTATTTTAACCTGTTTCTATTCATCTCCAGGCCTTGGGGCTTTTTTTTTTTTTAAACCTTTATTTCATTCTATAGGTCCTACTTTCCTGCTTCCTCTATGTCTGACTGGCTGGCCCCTGGTGACTCTCTGGCATCTTTTTCTTTTTTCCCAGAGCCTAAATTTCTCCTCCTATTTATTCTCCTGGCCTGAAAGTCCCACCTATACCTCCTCCCTTGCTATTACCCATTCGGTTTTTTATTAGAACAATCAGATGCCTTAGGAAGGCAAGGTAAAAGAGCAACATATCTTTACATAATTAAACAAATACAACACATCTTTACATAGTTGAATAAATATTCTGCAACACACAGATACTACCATCTCTCTGCAGCATCTCAAAGGAAACACATTCATCCCTTACACTATTCCCTTCTCTTTTTCTTGCAGTTGCTGGGTCAGCACAGCACATCTTGCTCATACATCATTCAGTCAACTGTACTTCTGGTATATCATCATAAAGATAGTAGGCATGACACTCAGGGTGTTAGGCCTGAGTACCCCTCTTCCCTCCTTCCTAAGAACAACATCTCTTGTTGGCAGCAGCAGTGTGCCTTGCTTTAAAACAAAATGCAAGGCCAGGCTATGCAGAGCACATCTGCAATCCCAGCATTAGGGAAGTAGATATCAGAGCATTGCTACAAGTGTACAGCTAGCTCAGCTACACAGTTTCAAATGAGTCAGGGACACAGAAAGACCTTGTTTCCATTGTGTGTGCTGGCATGTGTGAATGTGTACAAGTGTATGTGCACAAGTATCCATATGAATATGGAGGCCAAAAGTCAAAAATAGTATTGTTCCTTGTTTTGTTGTGTTTTGTCTTGTTGATTCACAAATGTGGGGTCTGGCCAGGGACTCACCTGTCTCTGCCTCTGAAGCACTACAAGCACAAACCACCATGCTTGGCTTTTTGATGTGGGTCTGGTGGTTGAATGCAGGTTCTTGTGCTTGAATAGTCAGTGTTTTACTGATGAGACATCTACCCAGCCTCTGTTTGATTGGAGGTGGTGGTGGTGTGTTATTTTTCAAGACAGAGTTTCTCTATGTAGCTTTGGCTGTTCTGGGCCTCACTCTGTAGACCAGGTTGGCCTCAAACTCACATAGATCTACCTGCCTCTGCCTACTGAGTGCTGGGATTAAACACATGCAACACCACCACTCAGACCCAGCCTCCATTTAAAAAAAAAAAAAGATTTATTTATTTATTATGTATACAGAGTTCGGACTGCATGTATGACTTGCATATCAGAAGAGGGTACTAGATCTCATCACAGATGGTTGTGAGCTACCATGTGGCTACTGGGAATTAAACTCAGGATCTCTGGAAGAGCAGCCAGTGCTCTTAACATCGGAGCCATCTCTCCAGCCTCTCAGCCTCTATTTTTATTCCTTTTTTGTTTTT